ACACCAAAAAAGTAATATGCTTTAGAGAAATGCTTTAGAGCCAGTGTTCTATTGCTGTGGAGAGACACCATGACCATGCAAGTCTTACAGAAAAAAAAAAAAAAAAGGCATTTAATTGGGGCTGGCTCACAGTTTCTGAGGTTTAGTCCATGTCCTCATGGGGGGGACATGGCAACACACAGGCAGACATGGTGCTAGAGCTGCTGAGGGAGAGTTCTATATCTGGATCTGCAGGAAGCAGGAGGAAAGGGCCCTGGGCCTGCTTTGGGCTTTTGAAACTTCAAAGCCCACTCTCCCATCTCCCCCACTCCTCCCTTTCACCCTGCCCCTCCCCCATGACACCCTTCCTCCAACAAGGCCACGCCTTCTAAAGTAATGCCACGCCCTGAGAACTAAGCATTGAAATGTGTGAGCCTGTGGGGACCCTTCTGGTTCAAACCACCCCAAGGAATAATAAACCTGTCGAATAGATAACTTTGTGTGAAATTAATTAATAGAAACAAAAATAAAATACATTCTTTGTTATTATATTTCTCTGATCTGTCATGACAGTACTCATTCCTGCACCTGTTAGTGAAAGTGTGTGTTAGTAAAGCAACTACTGTGTACAGCTGGCTGTGGTGCAGTAAGAACAGGTAGAAATGTTCCGTGTCTCCTTCTCACTTCAGAGAGTCCAGCTAAGTCAATGTGCCCAGAGGACTGGATTCCGCACAGACATAAATGCATACATTTTTCTCAAGTTGCCAACACTTGGAAGGAAGGTCTGGATGACTGTAATCAGAAAGGAGCCACTTTGCTGCTTGTTGAAGACCGAGTAGAGCTGGTAAGTTGTTCAACAAAATAGAGATGTTAGCTGTTCTTGAAGCTACACCACTGTCTAGACTTACACATGCTCCATGCAAAGGAAGTGGGGACTTTAAGGAAGCTCATAGTCTGAGAGACTTAAGACATGGAGCCAATAACTATGTATGGAAGGCGAGTGTCCTAGGATCATAAATATGGGCACAGATTTCACAAAGGAGGAAGAATAACTGGACACTCAGGTCAGAGACAGGTGACCTTGAAATAGGTTTCAGGAGTCTGATGGATGAGTCACCCAGACACAGTCTCAGGGTTAAATCCTAAACTGTTTTGATTGTAGAGATTCCTACAGGACTGGGTAAAGGAAGGAGGCCTTTCATTTTGGATTGGACTAAGTTACAAATTGCTGGACAAGACCTGGAAGTGGATAAACAACTCTGCTTTAAGCTCTGATGTGTGAGTATAGAGAAGCTAACTCAAATATTCACTTCTACTGTGGGGGCTTTTAGGGGGCTGCTGCTTGAGCTTAATAATGAGGACATGGAGACACCTGTATAGCACAAGCCTGTTAGCCTTTTTGCTGGAGGCAGCTAAACATCTACTCAGGAGGACTCGCCTGCCACCATACCTCCCTGCTCTGCTCCCATTCTTCCTCCAGCACCAAGTTCCAGCTCTTTTTTTTTTCCTTTTTAATGTAAATTGGTGTTTTAACTGCATGTGTGTCTCTGTGAGGGTGTCTGATCCCCTGGAACCAGCCACTTTTTCATCCAAATTCCTCTCCTTTCTGATACCAAAACTGCTTATTAGCCTAGTGGGAATGGTTCCACAGTTTACTCACCTGAACCAATCAGCAGCAGGACCACACCTGTCTATCTTTCAGTATCTCTTGGGCAGATTGAGGGCTAAGTGACCCCTTCCCCAACCCTCCAGCAGCTTGATTTTTAACATGATAATCCCAGAGAACCAACATTTTGGGCAGGTGAGGAAGCAAATGACATTTACATAGTAGAGAGCAGATTTTGTGGACTATAGAGGACAAAACCGTAGAACCCGTCAGCATCTGTGGCAACGACAGGGGCACACGTTCATAGCCACTTGATACACAATGTATGGGAGTAGGTTACCCCAACACATCTCAGGTTATCAGGGCTATAGGGCTCTAACACTGATAGCTAAGATTAAAAAGGTTCAGAATAGTCTGAAAATATGATTCCCAGGGTGGTTGAAATTCTTCACATATGAGAAGATACCAGCCTTATAAAAAGTGACATGGACTGTCTTAAGCAGCACATTTTAAACTTTGGTGAAAATATAGCACAGGGTGCCTTCAGATCAGTTTGTATGGTCCCAACCAGTTGAGCATGAAATAAAATAAATAAAATAAAATAAAATAAAATAAAATAAAATAAAATAAAATAAATCAGTGCAGAGCTCTGACATCTGAGAGAAAATACCTACATATTAACCGTTGTTTGATAGGATATGATAAAATTGTGTATAATCAGCTTTTTGTCATTGAAATAAAATATCTAAGATAAACAAGAATGGAAAGATGATTAGGAATCGTTTATTTTGAAGTGAAGAAGTCTCAGTCCTTGATCTGCTGCTCCATTGCTGTGATTGCTGTGATAATGCAGAACCTCAGTGGAAGGGCAGAGACAAGCAAAGCTGCTCATCTCGCAGTAGAACACAGGGGCAGAGAAGAAAGGAGACACAGGGGCAGATAGGCCTTTCAAAGGCAGGGCCCCTTCCTGTGAGGGTCAATTCATTCAGCTGGAACTCATGACTTAGTTAATCCATTGACAGAATTAACGTCCTCATGCTCCAGTCACCCATGGGTGGCATCACCTGCTAGAAACTGAGGTCTCAGTAGGTGCCCAGTTAGGGCATACTTGGCATCTAAGCCATAAGTGTGTGTAGATCACAAAGCAGTCAAGAGGTATTTGCTCTTCGGTGTCTCATTTTCTTACTATGGGAGACTGCATGGGAGATTTCAGTGGGAGAACTGATGCTTCATACTTAAGTTATATATTTTAACAAAATTCATAATTACTAGCATAACAAGGAGCAATGTATCACCACTGCAGAGGCAGGAGGACCTGGAGAACAGTCTCACACAACAGCTGACTTTATTTAGAGCAGCAGACAATTTATACTGAGGGTTAAGAAAGCTCAAGCTGAATACAATAACAAAGGCAAGCTGGCATGGCAAATGCGGTTTTCCAGAGAAGCACAGAAAGAACAGTTTAAACATTATCAATCAGTAGTAATAATCAGTCTGAAGTAAAGTCACCTTTTTTCTGCTGCACCTAGTAGAGCACAAAAACACATCCAAGAACATTTCATGTTTTAAAGAAACAAGACTCAGGTTTTTTTGTTTTGTTTTTAGTATTTTATTTATTTATTTATTTATGATTTATATAGTATTTGACCTGCATGTGTGCCTGCATGCCAGAAGAGGGCAACAGATCTCATTTTTTTTAGATGGTTATGAGCCACCATGTGGTTACTAGGAATTCCTAAAATTGAACTGAGGATCTTTGGAAGTACAGCCAGTTCTCTTAAACTCGGAGCCATCTCTCCAGCCCCAAGTCACAAGACTCTTGTCCTGTTTTCTTGGAGTGTCACACAAGCACCTCAAGCACTCCGGCCGTGACATGACAGAACAAGTTCATGTTTTTCATAAGCAAAAGCAGGCAGGATTCAATCAAATTTCTGTATAGAAGAAGACATTTCTGTAAAGAAGAAGAAATTACATTGCTTCTAATTTTTTTAAGAAGAAGGTATTATATTGAGAACCATTTTTTATTAATTGTGCTGGTGAGTTTTACATCAGCTTGACAAAAGCTAGAGTAATCTGGGAGGGGGGGAGGGAGTCTAGCCAGGCTGAACATGGCAAACATGGTGCCAGCAGGCCTTGGCCTTTTTCCTCATTGCTCTGCCTTGCTAAAAACTGTTCCAAATCTAGCCACCAAGGTCTTTTCCCTTATTTGGCCACTTCCTCACCTGAGGCTGACTACCAAGGTTCAGTTATCAAAGTATTAAAGCCCAGCAATCAAAAGACCCCCTTTGGTTTACGAATGCCCAATTAAACTGAAACACCTCATTTGAACAGAGGGTTTTGCCTCGTACCTTATAAATTGCCGATACCTGTCTCCTCTCTGCTCCTTCATGGTCCCTGCCTCCTGCTTTATGGCCTACTTGAGTGCCTGCTTTAACTTACCTTTGTGAAGGATTTATTGGAACTATAAGTGAAATAAATCCTTTTCTTCCTAAGTTGATTTTGGTCATGTTGTTTTATCATAGAAAAGGTATCATAGCAAAGTGTTTACTCAAGACACAAATCTTGAGTAAATTTATGCAAATTGTACAAGTCAATACTTTAAACATTCCTTTTTATCATTTAGAATAAAAATGATTGAAATTTATAATACTGAAACATATAGATATATGTTATATGAAATATAATAATATATTAAGTTTAGAGATTGTTAAACACATTGTTAACCTAGAGAGCAAATGTTGACAGTATACAAGACCATATTTTGAATTTTTTTTCAAAAAGTAAGACTTTAAAGTGGGAATTATTTTAAAACAAATGTTATGGGTTAGAATATATTTACAAAAACAAAAATATACACATCTTGTTTCATAAAATCTATCCTGATTTTTTTCTAATGCTTTGAGTGTCGTATTTAGGGTTACTGTTGCTATGACCAAAGCAAGTTAGAGAGGAAAGAGTTTATTTATTTGGCTATGCTTCCATATCCCTTCTCATCACTGAAGGAATCCAGGACAGGAACTCAAGCAGGGCAGGAACCTGGAGACAGGAGCTGAGACAGAGGCCATTCTGCAAAGTGAGCCTCAGAGTCAATCAGAAAGTGCTTGGTTACTTCCGAAATAGTCCTGCCAGTATTGCAGCAGCATATAAGCGGGTTGTTGTAGCTTGTGGGATCCACAGATAAGTTGGACACTGATGAGTCTTCTCAACCAGAAACCTGCACAGCACTTTCCAGTGTGTGTGTGTGTGTGTGTATGTGTGTGTGTGTGTGTGTGACTTAATTAGGCTTTTATGTAACGTGTTTACATTATTGTGATTCACAGTGATAATAAAACTGTAAGATATCTGAAGTGTATGGGTTCAGCTCCGTCCATCTTTCATTTTACCATGAGTATAAAATGACCACATGTCAATGACCAGGTAAGCCTGGAGGCTGCTGAGCTACGGTAGAAAGAGCATCAGTCAAGCCCTGCTTTTGTTTTAACTCTCTTACCCTGGTTTTTTGATAAGGAAAATATAACCAATTTTCCTGCATGTTTATTTGGCGAATTGATAAAATAATGTTAGCGATCTCCAAAGGCCTGATGGGAGATGGCCTAGGAAACCTTAAAAGCATTTTGAACAGATTGGTGTAAGGAAATTATCTTTAAACTTGAAGAAAGTCCTGGATCATGAAGAAATAAGACAACGGCCATTTACAGTGGAGGGAAGTCTATGCGATGACTGCTAGCATACAGGAAGTTGGGTTAGAGCAGACTTGTCTCTCAGGCCCAAAGGGCTCCATGAAGAAATGACAAAAGGAAGAAAGAACAGTTATAAGAAAGCCCCAGGCACTTTCGTACACCACCTTCTGTTTACAATGAATCGGTGCAATCTGAACTCATCTCTTCTACAGTTAACTCTATTTTTTCCTGTGTTGTTTGGATTCTAGTTCACACCTGAGCCATGTTTGAGTATTAAATCAAATGCCCACAGGCATAAAGGGCCATGATTAACACATGGCCTTACCCTCTTTCCTCTGTAGATCCGGTGAGCTCAGTCTGCATGTTAAACACAGTCACTGAGCACCACCGTGTTTAACTGTTGTCACTGTACATATGAACGCCTTCCCCAAGCACTGGCTGGTTATAGCAATACATTCAGGAAACAGGAGCTCGGGAAAGTGAGGCGGCTCTTTTTCTTGCATGAGATGTTAGCAGTCCAATGAGATGCAATCCTGCTTCCAAACTTTTTTTTCATCATATGAATATTTTTTTCCTGAAAGAATTCTTCTCTAGTTGAAAGTAAAATTGAAAAATATAGAGGAAGATGTGTGCAGATAAGCCTCCATCTTTAATGTGGACACGTGTTGTTACTCTGTGTATGGTGCTTAAACACTGTGGATTCTACAGTCCTTAGACGTCTAGATGAGAAGATGGCCAATTCAGGATATCTAATAGCAGCTGTTTTCTTCCTCCTCAGATTACAAGTCACTGGTGAAGGTAAAGAAGGCAGCTGTGGTGCCATCTCAAAGGACAAAGTGGTTTCTGAGAGCTGTGTTTCAGACAACCGCTGGATCTGCCAAAAGGAACCAAAACGTGATACCATGTGCAATGACTCCTGACTGCAAATCGCATCTCGATTACTTAACCATGCACAGCAGATCTCCGCGCTCAGTCTGTCTCTGCTTTTCTCTGCTTTCTGCCCTCCCAGTGCACATAGTGGCACAAAGCATGGACTCTAAAAGCACCATGATGCTTACAGATAACTTATTCTGTAAATGTGAATGGACAGAGAAACAGATGTGCCATTCTAAGAGAGGTGTTCTGTGAAAAGAAGCCCAGGCAGCTGAAGGGCTCCAGATTCAAATCCTGGAAACCATGACCTTCACTGTTTGTGTCTGAGCTCATCTGCAAAGCAGCCACAGAAAACTATTTACAAAATCATTATTAAAATACTTGCAATGCAGGAACTGGTGGCTCTGGGAAGGTTGAGCCAGGAGGGTCATGAGTTCAAGGCCAGCCTCAGTGTGGTGGATTAAATGATAAATGTCCTCCATAGTCTTGAGCATTTTCCCACTATGTTCCCAGTTGCTGGCACTGTCTGAGGGGGTTCAAGGAGTGCAGCCTTGCTGGAGGAATGTCACTGGAGGTGGCCTTTCCACAGCTTTTACTTGTAGCTTGCTCTGCTTCATACTTCCAGTACAAGATGGCAGCTTTACTCCAGCTGCCATGCTTTCTGCTTTCTTGTCTTTATGAACTCCAACCCTCTTGAATGAAAAGCCAAATTAAACTCTTCTATAAGCCACCTCACTTATTGTGTTTTATCATAAGAACAAGATAAGTAACTAATAAATTGGGCAACTTAGTAAGTAAATCAGAAACTGTTGGGGATGTTCTCCTACACGTTGTATTCAGATGCTGTGCCCTGAGATCCAGTTGCTGTCTGGATGTGGGCATTGTCATTTCTATGAAGAACATCCTGCGTTGTTGTGTAAAGAATGCTCCCCAGTTGTCCCTGAGAGGCTAAGAAAGAAGCTGATGAACTGATAACTGGACAGAGGAGAGAGCAGGTAGGACTTCCATTCTCAGTCTGAGGTCTCAGGTAGAAAGAGAGAGGGACAGAGAGAGTAGGAGGGGGAGAAGGGAGAAAGAGAGAGAGAAAGAGGAGAAGGGAGGAGGAAGTCACCACAAGGAGGACCTTGAGGATGGAGAGTCATGGCAGAAGGCCAAGGCAAGACTGAGATGGCAAGTAAAAGAGCTCGTGGCTGGGAGGGAGCCAGACTAGCATAATAGAAAAATAGCATAATAGAGAAATATCTGAGCAGTTATAGAGCTTAAAACTTGTTGAATAAATCTCGTAAGACTCCATGTGTTCTCTTTGGAAGCTACGGTGGGTAGCAGAAAAGGACCCTAATAAATACATATTTCTGCAGAAACAACAACCAAAACACTGCTCCTGGCAGTTAGCTGGAGTGATCATATTTGTAACAGAGCAGGGGAGCTTAGGGAGCAGTTTAGTAACTTGGGAATCTACTTCATTTGAGTTCTGCCCATACCTCTCTTTTGGTAACACGCTTGGGAGCCCAGGTTACTTTCCTGTACATGCTATGCTCATATGTCCCATCTCTAAACAATGCACCTCGTGATCTGTTAGCACCCCAAGACCTCCACAGCCATAGAGCTGCACTTTTCACCTACTTCAAACAATAGAAGTTTTTCATCCCTCTAAGGACCATCAAGCATTGACAGTTTCTAATCAAACATAATATTAATGTATTTGGGAACTATGGGAAATGGGTCAGTCCAGTCTAGACTGGTCTGGGGTGTGTGCTCAACAAGGCAAAGCAAACCTGTTGAGAGAATCTTCTGTTTACTGAATGAGGCCTAGAACAACTGAACATGCCTATCATTAAAACGCCTGTCAGTCAAATCAGAGAACCACCCAAATTAAGTTCCTCATAACCACACTCCTTCTCTTGAACACCTAAAAGGAAGCCCCAACAACCATCAGGGCTCTAGAGTACTCACTCCTGTGGCTGCCAGTTCTCATTACACTGTATTCCAATGTGTACTATAGGCTTGCTTTAGATGAGGTTTCTCAGTCACATTGCTCCCCCTGAAGAAGGCACCAAGAGCCTGGAAACAGTCCACCCTGTTCTGAGTGCAGGCAGCATGCTTCATGTGCATAGGAGCTTATTGGGAATGGATGTTGTCCTATATGTAAACTGGATAGCAAAAGTGGATACAGGATGTATTTCACATCTGCTCCCCAGTGCAAATAGGAAACGCAGTACAAACACAGCAAGATGTCACCTGTTCACTTCACTATAAATCCATGATGAGACTTCTACACTCACTGTAGAAGAGGGGAGGGCAGACACTCCTGATCTAGAGAAAATGTTTTCAGTCTTGTTTCACTGAAATTGATGTTAGTCACTGGCTTTTAGATTTAAAAATATGTTTAAGAACATTGAGTGATAGATTCATAGATTGATTAATTGATAGATATATAGATAGACTGTGTTTTTGTGTGCAAGCAAAACACACATGTGTTTTGCCTAACTGTGTTTGTGGAAATCAGAGCACAGAGGACAGACAGTTCTCTATATAGTAAGGCTTGATGCCTTCCTATATACTAAAAGTGTTGTGTACCATAATTTGAGAATATTTTCATAAATTCTCCATATTTGATTTTAAAATATCATGACTCAAGATGGAAAACTCTGGAAAATCTTGTATAATTGCTAAAGTTTTCACTGTTGGCAAAGCACTTGGGAACATAAAATCTTGGGAACATAGTTTTATGATTGAGTGCTTCCTTTGAATTCATGAGGTCCTAAGTTCAATTTCCAGCACTGCAGAAAATAAATAGATGGAGCCTGACACAGAACACTGTGCCTTGTATTGAGTGAAATGACTGTGATCAAACACTGACAGCTGCAGAGGGTTACACTGAGTCTTAAGTGAGCTGTGAGACCCCCACAGGTTTGCCCTCACTTCATAGTCATCATCATCTCAGGGAATGGGTGTGAGCCCCATGTGGGTTGTATGTCCACACCCCCGATCTTCTGGAACTCGCACCCGTCAGACTTACGGTTCTTACGGCCAGTAACTGTGAGTGCCTGGAACAATTCCACTCTGACACAGAAAGTGACTTTAAGGCAACCGCTGCTTTTCTTTTCCTCAGTGTAATGTGACAATATCTGCCTTGGCATTTGATGTCTTTGCTCTGAGGCTCTAGGCCTGCAAAATCCCTGGAGAAGTCAGCACACCTCAGAGACCTAAGTCTTGCATTCCCTGTAGCTCTGATAGATGACGTCCTTAACTCAGGGGAATGTTGTCACATCCACGTGCAGTGCGGAGCGCCACAGTGCAGAGTGGTGCACATGGCCCCCTCCCCATCGCTTTTCCTGTTGTGTCAGTCACGAAAATTTCCCAAACTCATGTGGTTTCCACATTCCACAGATTCCTTGGTAGGATGGATGTTTCAGGAGGATTTTACAGCTTCAACTCATGTCAAACATAACCATGGATTTTCATATATTAATTTATTTTTTATAACACAGCCTAATGTATTATCTATTTTAATTGCTGACAATTTGGAGAAAATCTTCACTTCAGTTTGAACTGAGGAAGCATGCTATATTTCACTCACCCTGAGCTCACCCACCCTGTATTGCAGGATCCTATTTTGATCTCCAAAACTGTGAACTGTAAAACCCTGTTTCTTTGGTGTGGTTGAGCCCTATCACACACCTTATATCCATTAACTTTCTGTTTATTGTAAGCAGATGATTATGATGTGTTTCACCCAGGCCTAGCACACACCTTTAATCTAAGAGCTTTATGTATACTGAATCTAATAAAGGTACCCTATGTCCAGAGGTGAAACATGAAACCAGCTGACAGTGATTAAAGAGTAGGATGGACTTTGAGTTGAGGGGTATTTAAGACATGGTAGAGAAGAAGAAGAAGAAGAAGAAGAAGAAGAAGAAGAAGAAGAAGAAGAAGAAGAAGAAGAAGAAAGGGCCCTTAGCTCAAGCTCTGGCTTTACTTTAGGCTTCAGCTCCTTGGCACCCTGGCTTTTTGGCCTTTGAACTAGCAAGCCTTCAGCCTTGGGTTTTTTGACCTTTTCTTCCTGGGCTGTCAGCTGAGCTAGTAAGTCCATTGGGGTTTTCCATCCAGACCTGAGCTGAGAAGGAAGATCAAGTGGTTACTTTCTCTGCCTCTTTGAGCTAGCAGATTTTTATCCCAGCATCTGACTCCTGAGTCCTCATTGGTAAAATAGAATGGTTGGGATTTTCATCATTGTACATAACAACAACTCCGAGAGAATAACTCAGAACTGGTGGTTACAGACATCAGAACAAAAAGCCCCTCTCTTTAGTTAAGAAAAGGAAACACCAAGTTATTCCTTCTTAAGAAGATAATGTGTGATAGGAGCAGACCCACAGCCAATAGCTCAGGCAGAGCTCAAGGAACCCCATGGAAGAAGGAGAGGGAGGTTTGTGGGAGCCAGAGGACACCAAGACAACACAGAACACAGAATCAGCTAAGCAGAGCTCATAGGGTTTCTTGGAGACTGAAGCAGCAATCATGAAACCTGCATGGGTCTGTGTTAGGCCCTCTGTCTACATGCTGTGAATGTATAGATTTGGTTTTTGTGGTGCTCCTAACAGTTGGAGTTGGGGTGTCCCTGAGTCTTTTGCCTGCTCATGGGACCCTTTTCCTCCTCCTGGGTTGCCTTGTCAGGCCTTACACCTAGTCCTAATGCATCTTGTTATCCTGTATTTGGCTGATATCACAGGAGGGCTTCTCTCTTCTCAAGGGAAACAAAGGAGAAGTATGTGTCTGGGAAAGGGAAGGTGTGGGGGAGGGAGGCTGGAGGAAAGTGAGGATGTACTGTATAAGAGACAAATAAACAAAAAGAAAAAGACAATAGTGTGTATGCTGTGTGAGCTGGACAGACACCAAGCCAATAACTACAAAGACACCCACAGAGACAAGAGTGGTAGGTGTGAACCCAGCAGGGCATTGACAGAGGACTTCCTTTTTCTCAGTTCACCTCAAAGGACTTGGACTGTGTCCCTGCTCACATGTTCAGTGTCTCAGCTTCTGTCTGCCATGGACACAGCAACAGTCTACTTAAATTTAAAGGCACCCAGGACTCGGGGGGCTCAGTGTGCATCACCTCCATCTCTTCCCCAAGGTCAGTAATTTTGTTTCTCCTTTTAGTGTCAAAATATCCTGCAGAGTTATGATTTTTGTTTTCCTACAGCTTTAAGCTGTTGCTTTGAAGATGACCAGCTGTCTGTCAGCGCTGAAGAGTGTAGATGGCTACAACCTGGGAGAAAAAAAAATGCTCACACATTACATTTTTAGTCAATCAGTGAGTGTGAAATTAGGGCAGCCACTCTTTTGGGCAAGACCCTGCGGAGGGAATATTTTACATCCACAAGGAAAGGGGTGCTTTGAGCAGGAAGACTTGCTGTAAAGCAAACTTCTTGCCTGGTCCAAACTTCTCTACAGAACACAAAAACCATGGCTCAGCTCCACAGCATCCAAGCACTGACCACTGGTGCAACTGACCCCCTGTCTGCCAGAAATGTGGAGGACTGATATGAAGCATTTATAAAGGATACCATGATTTAAGGATGGATAAAAAGAGACAGACACAGAGGCAGAAAGTATGTCTGAAGTGGTCATGGTATAGTGTGAATTTCTGTGACACAACTGAGCTTCCGTATATACTACTGCAATGTTTTAAATGTAATCTTTCTGTATTGTGTCAAGAATGTGAACCACAACTCTTTAAGGGTGCTCGTCAGAAACTGTTAAATTAACAGATTTTTTTAAACTAGGAAAAATAATTTAAAAAATTCTTTATTAATTATACTTTATTCCCTTTGTATCCCCCTTGTGGTTCCCTCCCTCCTCCCGTCCCAATCCCTCCCTTCCTCCACCCTCTGCATGCATGCCCCTCCCCAAGTCCACTGATAGGGGAGGTCTTCTTTTCCTTCTTTCTGATCCTAGTCAATTAGGTCTCATCAGGAGTGGCTGCATTGTCTTCTTCTGTGGCTTGGTAATGCTGCTTCCCCCTCAGTGGTAGGTAATCAAAGAGCAGACCAGTCAGTTCTTGTCAGAGACAGTCTCTGTTACAATGGAACCCACTTGGATACTTAACTGCCATGGGCTACATCTGTGCAGGGGTCTTAGGTTATCTATGTGATTAGACCTTGGTTGGAGTATCAGTCTCAGGAAAGACCCCTGTGCTCAGATTATTTTGGTTCTGTTATTCTCCTTGTGGTGTTCCTGTCCTCTCCAAATCTTACTGTTTCCCACTTCTTTCCTAAGATTCCCTGCACTCTGCCAAGGTTACCCATAAGTCTCAGCATCTGCATTGATAGTCTGCAGGGCAGAGCCTTTCAGAGGCCCTCTGTGTCAGGCTCCTGACTTGTTCCCTCTTTTTGCCTTCTTCTGATGTCCATCCTCTTTGCCTTTCTGGATAAGAATTGAGCATTTTAGCAAGAGTCCTCCCTCTTGAATAGTTTCTTTAGGTGTACAGATTTTAGTAGGTTTATCCTATATTATATGTCTATATCAGTGAGTATATACTGTGTGCATTTTCTGCTTCTGGGATAGCTCACTCAGGATGATCTTTTCCAGATCCCACCATTTACCTGCAAATTTCATCATTTCCTTGTTTTTTATTGCTGAGTAATATTCCATTGTATACATATACCACAATTTGTGCATCCGTTCCTCCACTGAGGGGCATCTAGGCTGTTTCCAGCTTCTGGCTATTACAAATAAGGCTGCTAAAACATGGTTGAGCAAATGTTCTTATTGTGTACTTGAGACTCTTTTGGGTATATGCCTAGGAGTGGTATAGCTGGATCTTGAGGAAGCGCTATTCCTAGTTGTCTGAGAAAGTGCCAGATTGCTTTCCAGAGTGGTTGTACAACTTTACATTCTCCTTGGATGACATAACTTAGATCCAAGGTGGAGAAGATCATTGTAAACAGCACTGAAGAAGACCTAATTTTCAGGAATAGAATCATAAGTCATTGGCACTGAAAGTCACAATTATTGAAAAACTAAGCATGAAAAAATGTCTCTTCTTTAAGAAGAGATCCAGCTTAAACATACTTTGACTCCCTTCCTGCACTAGGACATGTGATTTATTTTTGTACAGCCCTGATTAGCTTTCAACACTGTTGGTCTCCTCCTGCCTGGAGGCTGTCTCCCAACAGCCCAGGAAGTCAGGCAGAGCAGCAGACCTCAGTACAGGGGTCCCAAACCCCTGGAACACCTGATGGCTAATTCAGCTTTAGTTACAGAGAACAAAGGCTATCTACCGCTTGGTGAGTGGGTGGGGAGCTCCAGAATAGGTGTATATAATTGGTTGGAACTAGGCACTTCAAGGATGCTTGACTTGCAACATACAGCAAGCTCTTGACATATGAATGGAAACACAGTACCTAATTATTATATTCGCATGGGGAGGGGAGACCTAGCAGGGAGCTGTGTCAGAAGACATATATCAAATGTTTGTTGTGTTTAGGGGAGTCTGTGTCTAAAGACATTTTCCAGATGAAGTCAGTCAGAGAGCAGGGGACTCCACCGAAGGTGAGGGCATCCTGCCTTTAATTCGGAGCTCACAATGGCAATCCTGACTAGGTGAGAACTACTACCTCAACCAACAGGGTGCCTCTATTCCTTTGTGCATTGTACCTGCGTACACATTATTTTTCAGTCCTACTCTACCAAAGCAAACAGTTGAAACTAACAGAGAATTGATTTTATAGAATTCAGCTTTAAGGATCTTACCAGCAGTCAACTGTCTACTTGAATCCAGTTGTCCATATTGATCGAAACCCCCTTTACCTAGTATTCCAGATGTCCTCAACTGACCTACATGAGTAACAAGGTTTCTAACCTCACAGATGCCTGCCAGTGCCCACGTTCACACAGGCTGGCTCTGAAACTCAGCTGTGCTGGGCTGATCCTTCTTCTCTTGACCCTGATTGGGATGAGCATCTTAGGTAGGTAAGGCAAGAGCTTTGGCTTCAGAATTCTTCCTCTCATTCTGTCACAAATGTCACTGCCTCTTCAGATGACTTGGCCCCTTGAACCTGGGGAAGGTCAATGACATGAGTGCTTACAGGACAGTATTCATGTCCAGGGCAGAAACTTCACATCATTTCATGCTTCCAAATTCCTCTGAGTGTCACCAGGGGCTCTCTAAAAGACCAGAGCATGGCAAAGATGGTGGCCGGCAGGTTTTGCCCTTTTCACTATCCTCTCCTTTGCTAAAACATTAGATTATGCTTCTAAAGCAGGCCCCCAAGGTCCAGTCCATTTTTTAGCCACTTTCTTATGCCAAGCTTATTCCTGAGGCTGAACACCAAGGTCCAACTATCAAAACATCAAGGTCCAGTAATCCAAATTCATTATTGCGCTACACTGGCTAAAGTTAGTACAATCAACACTTACCAACTCACCCTAGCACAGACTTCCTTTTTTCCCCTTAAAAACCCACTTCTGCAAAAAACATACCTGCTGCTGTCTTGACCTGATTCAGAGGCACACACAGCCCCTCTTCGTCCCAGGGTAATAAATCTTGTTTGTGCTGAGGATTTGGTGTCTGGGTGTGTTCTGAGCTGACTCCAAGTGTCCCCCGACCTGCCATCACACACCCCACATGTACCCAGAATCTAAAAAAAGTCACAATTGTGACAAAAACAATAACAACAATGATAACTAAAAGGCTCAGAAGCTTAGTTTACTAAATGGTTGCTGAACTCCAATGGCAGTAAGCTGTGTTTCTTGAAAGCAGTGTAATAATACTCATTCAGGCCTGAGTATGGGCAAGTTAAGAGTTTCTGTAAGGCTGTTTGATAAGATGTGACTTAACAGTCGTGTGAATCCATATGTTCAGCATTTTTCTTCTTTGTTTATATATTCTGTCTCTAAACTGGTTCTCAGTTCAGTTTGCTAATATTATTTCTTCAATGCAGATGTTCAGGTTTGTGGGAATAACTTGTTTCCAGGAGTGAGAAATAAAACACCTGTCACGCCATTCACTCCAGCACTAATTTCTCTGTGTGTTTTCTTGTTTCCTAGTTCGAGTCCTAATACAAAAACCATCAAAAGAAAAACACTCTGTGTATATTCAAGAGAACATACGTAACACAACAGGTAATCTTTGTGGCTTGAATTTCTCAACAATATTAGCTGAATTTGCTATTTACTGGGCGTTTATATCAGTGAAGGCTTACAACAGCCATCCATGAAGACAGTGTATCACCCTAGTCCTATGTTACAGGAAATTGCTGCATAGAAACTTGTTGAGGGTCTTGTGATGGGTAGTTGGTAATGCTGGGAACATCTTTAAACTGTGTGACCTTGAAGCCTGAGGTCTTAACCACTCGGCAGTACTGCCTCAGGGTGCTAGCACATTTGATCATTAACTTAAGAAATGCTCAAATGGGATATTTGTTTTAGCAAATGGATCAAGTAGTTAACTTTGCCTAAAGTTAATTAATAAAAACAAAAGCGAATATATATGTATATACATGTATATTATACGTTATGTATATTTTTGATCTGTCATGACAGTACTCTCCTTCCTGCACCTGTTAGTGAAAGTCTGTGTTAGTAAAGCAACTACTGTGTGCAGCTGGCTGTGGTGCAGTAAGAACAGGTAGAAATATTCCATGTCTCCTTCTCACTTCAGAGAGTCCAGCTAAGTCAATGTGCCCAAAAGACTGGATTCCATACAGACATAAATGCATACATTTTTCTCAAGTTCCCAACACTTGGAAGGAAGGTCTGGATGACTGTAATCAGAAAGGAGCCATTTTGCTGCTTGTTCAAGACCAAGAAGAGCTGGTAAGTTGTTCAACAAAGCAGAGATGTTAGCTGTTCTTGAAGCTACACCACCGTCTAGACATACACATCTTCCATGCAAAGGAAGTGGGGACTTTAAGGAAGCTCATAGTCTGAGAGACTTAAGACATGGAGCCAATCACTGTGTCTGGAAGGTGAGTGTCCTAGGATCATAAATATGGGCACAGATTTCACAAAGGAGGAAGAATTACCTGGGCACTCAGGTCAGAGACAGGTGACCTTGAACTAGGCTTCAGGAGTCTGGTGAAGGAGCCACCCAGACACAGTCTCAGGGTTAAGTCTTCTACTCTGTTTTGGTGGTAGAGATTCCTACAGAACCGGACAAAAGACTCTTCATCTTGGATTGGACTAAGTTACAAATTGCTGGACAAGACCTGGAAATGGATAAACAACTCTGCTTTAAGCTCTGATGTGTGAGTATAGAGATGCTAACTCGAATATTCATTTCTACTGCGGGGGCTTCTAGTGGGCCGCTGCTTGGGGCTTAATAATGACATGGAGACACCTGTATAGCACAAGCCTGTTAGCCTTTTTGCTGGAGGCAGCTGACCACCTACTCAGGAGGACTCCCCTGCCACCATGCCTCCCTGCTCTGTTCCCATTCTTCCTCCAGCACCAGCCTCCAGCTTTTTTATTTTTTCTTTTTTTTAATGTAAATTGGTGTTTTAAGTGCATGTGTGTTTCTGTGAGGGTGTGTGATCCCTTGGAACCAGCTCTTTTTTCATCCAAATCCCTCTCCTTTCTGATACCAAAACTGCTTATTAGCCTAGTGGGCGTGGTTCCACAGCTTACTCACCTGAACCAGTCAGCAGCAGGACAACACCTGTCTATCTTTCAGTATCTCTTGGCCAGATTGAGGGCTAAGTGACCCCTTCCCCAACCCTCCAGTAGCTTGATTTTTAACATGATAATCCCAGAGAACCAACATTTTGGGCAGGTGAGGAAGCAAATGACATTTACATATTAGAAAGCAGATCTTGTGTGCTATAGAGGACAAAACCGTAGACCCCGCCAGCATCTGTGGCAACTATAGGCGCACACGTTCATAGCCACTTGATACAAATTGTGTAGGATAGGAGTAGGTTACCCCAAAACATCTCTGGTCTTTGGGGCTATAGGACTCTAACACTGATAGCTAAGATTAAAAAGGTTCAGAACAGCCCGAAAATATGATTCCCAGGGTGGCTGAAATTCTTCACATACGAGAAGATACCAGCCTTATAAAAGGTGGCATGGACTGTCTTAAGCAGCACATTTTAAACTTTGGTGAAAATATAGCCCAGGGTGTCTTCAGATCAATTTGTCTGGTCCCAACCAGTTGAGCATGAAATAAAATAAAATAAAATAAAATAAAATAAAATAAAATAAAATAAAATAAAATAAAATAAAATAAAATAAAATAAAATAAAATAAAATAAAATAAAAATCAGTGTGGAGCTCTGACATCTGAGAGAAAATACCTACATATTAACCGTTGTTTGACAGGATGTGATAAAATTGTGTATAATCAGCTTTTTGTCATTGAAATAAAATATCTGAGACAAACAAGAATGGAAAGATGATTAGGTATCTTTTATTTTTTTCAAGTGACGAAGTCTCAGCCCTTAATCTGCTGCTCCATTGCTGTGATTGCTGTGGTAATGCAGAACCTCAGTGGAAGGGCAGAGACAAGCAAAGCTGCTCACCTCGCAGTACACAGGGGTAGAGAAGAAAGGAGACACAGGGGCAGATAGACCTTGCAAAGGTATGGCCCCTTCCTGTGAGGGTCACTTCATTCAGCTGGGAACTCATCAGTTAGTTAATGCATTGACAGAATTAACTACCTCATGCTCCAGTCACCCATGGGTAGCATCAGCAGCTGGACACTGAGGTCTCAGTAGGTGCCCAGTTAGGGCATACTTGGCATCTAAGCCATAAGTGTGTGTAGATCACAAAGCAGTCATGAGCTCTTTGCTCTTCAGTGTCTCATTTTCTTACTGTGGAAGACTGTGTGGGAGATTTCAGTGGGAGAACTGATGCTTCATACTTCAGTTATATATTTGAGCAGAATTCATAATTAGTGGCATAACAAGGAGCAATGCATCACCACACCAGAGGCAGGAGGACCTGAGAACAGTCTCACACAACAGCTGACTTTTTTCAGAGCAGCAGACAGTTTATACTGAGGGTTAAGCTCAAGCTGAATACAATAACCAAGGCAAGCTGGCATGGCAAATACGGTTTCCCAGAGAAGCACACAAAGAACAGTTTAAACATTATCATCAGTAATAATAAGCAGTCTGGAAAAATCACTTTTTTTTCCAGCTGCACCTAGCATAGCACAAAAACACATCCAAGAACATTTCATGTTTTAAAGAAACAAGACTCGGGTTGTGTTTTGTTTTTAATATTTTATTTATTTATTTATTTATTTATTTATTTATTTATTTATTCATTATTTATACAGTATTTGACCTGCATGTGTGCCCGCATGCCAGAAGAGGCCACCAGATCTCATTTTTTTGATGGTTATGAGCCACCTTGTGGTTGCTGGGAATTGCTGGAACTGAACTCAGGATCTTTGGAAGTATAGTCAGTTCTCTTAAACTCTGAGCCATCTCTCCAGCCCAAGTCACAAGACTCTTGTCCTGTTTTCTTGGAGTGTCACACAAGGACCTCAAGCACTCGGGCTTCTCGTATGATTCCATTCTTGGTCTTGTCATGACAGCAACATGTTTATGTTTTTCATAAGCAAAAGCAGGCACCGGATTCAATCAAATTTCAGTAGAAGAAGAAATTTCTGTAAAGAAGAAGAAATTACATTGCTTCTAATTTTTTTAAGAAGAAGCTATTATGTTGAGTACCATTTTTTATTAATTGTGCTGGTGATTGACAATAGCTAGAGTAATCTGCGAGGGGGGGGAGGGAGTCTAGCCAAGAAAAAAAGCCTTGGCCTTTTTCCTCATTCCCTCTGCCTTGCTAAAAACTGTTCCAAATCTAGCCACCAAGGTCTTTTCCATTATTTGGACACTTCCTCCCCAGAGGCTGATTACCAAGGTTCAGTTATCAAAGTATTGAAGTCCAACAATCAAAAGACCCCTTTGGCTTATGCATGCCCAATTAAACTTAAACACCTCATTTGAACACAGGGTTTCCCCTTGTACCTTATAAACTGCAGATGCCTGTCTCCTCTCTGCTCCTTCATGGTCCCTGCCTCCTGCTTTCTGGCCTGCTTGAGTGCCTGCTTTGACTTACCTCAGTGAAGGACATATTGGAACTATAAGTGCAGTAAATCCTTTTCTTCCCAAGTTGCTTTTGGTCATGTTGTTTTATCATAGCAATGGTAACATAGCTAAGATTCAAATTTTGAATAATTTATGCAAATTGCACAAGTCAATACTTAAAACATTCCTTTTAATCATTTAAAATAAAAAGATTGAAATTTAAAATACTGAAACATATAGATATGTTATATAAAATATAACAATGTATGAAATTTAGAGATTGTTAAACACATTGTTAACCTGGAGAGCAAATGTTGACAGTATATAAGACCATATTTTGATTTTTTTTTCAAAAAGTAAGACTTTAAAGTGGGAATTATTTTTAAACAAATGTTATGAGTTAGAATATATTTACAAAAACAAAAATATACACATCTTGCTTCCTAAAATCTATCCTGATATTTTTCTGATGCTTTCAGAGTGTCGTATTTAGGGTTACTGTTGCTATGACCAAAAGCAAGTTAGAGAGGAAAGAGTTTATTTATTTGGCTATACTTTCATATCACTTCTCATCACTGAAGGAATCCAGGACAGGAACTCAAGCAGGGCAGGAACCTGGAGACAGGAGCTGAGACAGAGGCCATCCTGCAAAGTGAGCCTCAGAGTCAATCAGAAAGTGGTTGTTTACTTCCCCAATAGTCCTGCCACTATAGCACCAGCATATAAGCGGGTTGTTGTAGCTTGTAGGATCCACAGCTAAGTTGGACACTGATGACTCTACTCACCCAGAAACCTGCACAACACTTTCCAGTGTATGTGTGTGTGAATTAATTAGGCTTTGATGCAACGTGTTTACATTATTGTAATTCATGGTGATAATAAAACTGTAAGATATCTGAAGTGTATGGGTTCTGCTCAGTCCATCTGTCATTTTACCATGAGTATAAAATGATCAGATGGCAGTGGTCAGGTAAGCCTGGAGGCTGCTGAGCTACGGTAGAAAGACATCAGTCAAGCCCTGCTTTTGTTTTAACTCTCTTACCCTGGTTTTCAGTTAAGGAAAATGTAACCAAATTTCCTGCATGATTATTTGGCAAATTGATAAAATAATTTTAGCGATCTCCAAAGGCCTGATAGGAGATGGCCTAGAAACCTTAAAGGCATTTTGAACAGATTGGTGTAAGGAAATTATCTTTACACTTGAAGAAAGTCCTGAAGCATGAAGAAATAAGACAAAGACCCATTTACAGTGGAGGAAAGTGTATGGCATTACTGCTAGCATACAGGAAGTTGTGTGAGAGCAGAGTTGCCTCTCAGGCCCAAAGGGCTCCATGGAGAAATGACAAAAGGAAGAAAGAGCAGCTGTAAGAAAGCCCCAGTCACTGTCATACACCACCTTCTGTTTACAATAAATCGGTGCAATCTTAACTCATCTATCCTACAGTTAACTCCAATTTTTCCTATGTTGTTTGGATTCTAGTTCACACCTGAGCCATGTTTGAGTATTAAA